AAGCCATCAACTCATCAATAATATCATTCTCAACAATCAATCTCAAGCTCATAAACATAAGCTGCATATCAATCATTTGATGCTTGAACCTTAACTTAGGTTGGATTTACTTGCTTTATGGGTAATGGCTTCTCTAGCACTTCTCCTTCCCTTTTGTATCTCTTCTATCTACAACTTTAAACAATAACAACATAGACTTTAACAAATCATAAGCAAATTCTCATCTAAAGCAAGAATCCTTACCTTAGGATGCTTTAGATTAAATCTCTACTAAAACTACCCCAAAAATCCTTAGAAATTCTGGAAGATTGAGTGGAGGATTGAGAGAAATTAGGGAATGAGATGGCAGTGGAGATGGTGAGAATGAAGGGCTTTCAACACTTAAACCCTTTTTAGCTCAACTTACATACATCATTCCCATTTTGCCTTGCTCTTTCTTTTGGAAATTCCATCTATGTCCCTTAGTCAATTACAATAATGCTCTCATTTATTACATTCTCCATGAATTCTATTTCTTTTCACTTCCCAATTTTTTAACTAATTTAAGTGAAAAGACCATTTTACCCCTAATGAAAGTTTAAGGGATTTTCTTTACATTTCTCAAAATAACTTTAACAAAATTCACCAGCCAACCAACAAAAATAACATATGCAAGCTCAAATGAGAACAAATCAATAAATATTCAACAATGCAACAATAATTTAACTACATACCTCAAGTGGCGTTACAAGGCAGCATGATTTTGTTTATAGTAAGAAATGAAACATTTATTTCCTTCCCAAATAATATATATATATATATATATATAATACAACACACAAGAAAAAAAATATCTAGTCAACTAAAGAATAAAAAACCTTATGTCAACTAAAGAATGATAATATTAATAAATAATAAATAACATTTAGTTGTTTAATTTCTTCTATGAAGTATCTTTTAAGGCAATAAAAAAAAAAACAAAAAATATCATTAACCATATATATAATAATCTTTAAGGACACATTTATTGGACCCATTGTTTAAAGATTAAAATTTAGATAATATTATAAAACTAACACATTTTTTTAGTAATATAATTTTTATTAATATCATATATTGTAAACATGATATTCAATATTTAAGGGTTGTTATTATATTAAATGATACAAGGTAGAAAGCGTCTTTCACAATTAAGAAATAACTCGTAAGATGATTATCAAAATAAATGATAAATAATATAAAAGTGATGGAAAGTCTATTGTTAAACGATTATATACGAAAATTATATTAAATTTATTATACTATTGTTATTTACTAATTTTATTTAATAAAATGATATGACAATTGAACTACTTCACTTAAGACAAATCATCAAGTCAATTGCTATATTAATTAAAACATGGAAAAAATTTATTACAAATTTGTTGAAGTGATATTTGTTAGGTTTTATGCCCACCCCGAAGTTTTGGCTAAATGATTAGAAGTTTTGATAAATAGTTGATCGTTTTGGTACCGTAACATTTCTTGAATATAAAAGTGGTCAATCGTTTGATCAAAACTCTTAACTGTTTATTTAAAATGTCTTTTATAACTTTTATATTATTACATTTAACTGACAAAACCTTTGTTTGGGATTGTGAGGTTAGTTTCCTAAAATTGAAGGGTCCTCAAGGGTGAAAATGTAATTTAATATATAATAATATGGACTTAAAAATTGATGTAAGAATTGTTGGCAGGTTGAAAGAATATTAATAAAATATGTATTTATTGTTGTTTTCCAATGAGGGTACTTCAAGTGGACAACAACTTATGTATGGTTTAATTGATTTTGTTTGTCCATCCAAATATTAACATTGGAAATTTGAAATCTTTTTTTTTGAGGGAATTTCAAATTTTCAATATTAGCACTTGGACTAGTACTCATTGATTGATGCACATAATTTTATTTTTATAGAGGAATTGTTTTAGAAAAGTCAATATTTTATTCTCAAAATATGACTTGTGTCCTTATCCTATATGATTCAATTTCAACTTCTTTATTCTTTTTGTTCTGTACAAGTAATTTATTGTCATAAAATCCAAAATGATTTGATTAATAATATTCAATTTCATATCAATTCACAAGAATATTCGTTTTACATACTTATAATGTATAAATTTATCCTTCATCCTTTATGACAAATTTGATTTTAACTTGGGATCTTATAATTAGGGTAGACAAAAAAACCGTGAAAATGCTCCGAATCAAAAACCCGAATGGTTTGGTATAATACAAATTTTTATCACAAAAAAAAAAAAAAAAAAACGTTAAATTTGTTTTCTATGAACCATACTGTATGGTACAGTTTTTTATTTTTTGGCTTATTCAGAGCAAACAGTTTATTTTTTTGGTTCATTGATTTTTTTTAAACTGCCCTTGAAATTACCAAAAACCCATAAAAATATCATAAAAACCTCTACTAGAAAACTGATAAAACACGGTATGATATAATAAGAAATTTACACAGTATGGTTCAACCTTATCCACCCCTACTAATAACATAACACGTGTGCATTAATAAGTATATGTGTATGTCCTTGAATTAGTTAGTTAATCGCAATCTTGTATTTTGTTCATATCAGAAGAGAATTCAAATACATAAATATACATTTTATTTTACCACTGATAAATTTTAATTCTTATAAATATCTTGTCCTACACGTTGTTTTAAAACCCGGATCAGAGGACACCTGCTTCATTGCCCAGGTCACTAGTCAACCGGTCCAACTAGTTAGACCGACCAGTTGGACCAATGACATTAGCACTGCAAAAAAAAATAAAAAAATAAAAAAAAAATTTGAAAAATTTCAGATTTCCAATAACAGAATACCAACTTAATTACTACCCAATTCAAATTCATTAACAATCCCAACATGATTTAACTATAATCCAAAGTCTCCAAACATGATGTGTTCATCCATTACAAATTAAATGACAAAATACATAATAATCAATAACAAAATATTTGGTGCAAGTGTTTTTTATATACAAATTCAGTGACCAAATTATGCATAAATAAAGACAGTGGAAAAATATCTTTACAAAAGAGAGAGGCATCGTCTTCGTCGATTTTGAGCAAGAGAAGTTGTTAGGGCCAAAAATCGTCCTTGGCCCAAATAAGAAAATGGGCGCGACACTGAAGAAGAAGCCAAGCCCAATCCTGATATGACCCTACCGGGTTAGGCCCATTCTGTACAATGTGTAGCCGGCCCAGACCACGTGGGCACGAGCCTCCTAATCCCAGCCCATTTCCCAAGTCCATGGGTGAGTATAGAGCCCACGATCTCCTCAGAATACTTCCCATTCCTGATCACTTTCCTGCTCGAAGTTACTCTCCTAATCAGAATCACCTTCCTATTCGAACACTGGTAAGACAGCTTACCACGGCCCTAATTCTTCTAGGGTTTGCATTAGAGTCATACTAGGACTCCTACTTCTACCAGGATTGGGAGACCAAACAGTCACTATATAAGCAGAGGTCAGCCCTCTCACAGAGGACATTCAACCTTCACACCGAAAGCTCCGACTTGAGAGCTTCACATCATCGTCGTAGTCACAGTCCCCGACTAGACTTCCGGTAACCTTTTATTCCCTAGCCCTCACTATATTTGCCCTTCAGCCTTGCTGACTTGAGCGTCGGAGTGCCTACAGCAAACACCACACCGGTGTTTCCCGTTCGCTTCACGCGTGTGTTTCCTACGTGTGCAGGTACAGCGGATCGCTAGTGGCCTTAACCTCGCGGGATCAGACCCCCCCTTTTCGTACAGGTAGATTTTTACGTCTATAGAAGTGATGTTGTCGTTGATTCCAGCAAATGAGGGAGGCGTCATCGTCCGTCATCATCGAGCAAGGGAGAAGGGAGGTGTGTCGTCACCGAAATCTAGTGAGAGAGGTGCCGTCATCGTCGAGCAAGGGAGAAATCCAGCAAGGGAGGTGTTGTCGTCGTCAAGCAAGGGTCCAAGGGAGAGTGGAGTTGAGATTCAATTGAAAGATTGAATTGAGACTAAGTGCAGTTACTTTGAGAAATAAGTTGAAATTTTAGAGAGTTGAGAGATTGAAGAGAGTGGAGTCGCATGAAAAAGACTTAGATTTAGGGTTTTTTTCATTTAAACATTGATTTGGATTACCAAGTGATCCGGTTCGATCGAGAGGTTTGCACTATTCATCCGATTTAATAATGGGTTCAAACAGTTTTTTAATTAATAACGGGTTTTATATTGATTCGGACCGGACATACAATCGGGTCCTAGTCGAACCGGTTGGACCAACCGATCCGATACGACTTTTAAAACAAAGGTTCAAAAGAAACTTATTCATACTATTCTGATCAATTTTGAATAATTTTTTAACTGAAACAAATTATATAACCTCCCCCATTGTTTTTTTTTTTTTTTTTTTTTTTTTAATAGTAGATCATATCAATTTATTACAAAAACTGATGAACAAATATAGTGGGACTCATTGTAAATTTACCCGTAGCAACCGCCATTGGATGATTTGATAGTAAAAGAACAAACAAGAATATGAGTTTACATGATCTCCCGAATTTGAGTCCCCACAATCCTTAATAGGAATGACCATTGGAGCTTGTACTCGATCGGTAGTTTTAGAGTCGCAAAAGATTAGTTGAAATATGCATAAACTGACCCAAACACTCTCGGTCATAAAAAAAAAATTTACACGTAACTAAAATATCAATTTACCCCCTTCAACTTAAAGAGCAAACACATTGTATATTAATCTAGAAAATGTTTTGAGTTTTTCAGAAATGATACACAGATTAAACTAAAGTTAAAGTAAACCAAACTCACTACCGATGTTCAGGCTTATGAACAAAATTATTTCTTAAAAAATTTGTACAAGGAAGCAGATTGATGCACCTTTAGCTCTGTGGGTGTGATAATAAGCAAGCGCAAGGGAGCTTCGCTCTATGCTTCTGCAACAAGGAGATTTGATCCTATTTTGTAAATTTTGCTGCACATCAGGTGGAGTTCCGCACTTTTCAAGCAGACACGGGAGTTCTTTCTTCAGAAACGTTGGATGGCAACTGATCTTGAAAACCTAACATCTTGTTCACAGCAGCAACATATGCCTTGACACTAGAGACAACAACATCCATTCCTGCTCCTGTTCCACTGGAGATACCAAAAGAAGATAAAAAGAGTTAAAGAGGTATGAATCAGGAGGAATACACTAAGTAAGAGAGAGAAACAATATTACATCCAGTACCTGAATGTTCGCTGAACTGTTTCACCAGTTAGAGCATTAGTTGATGATGTGGGATTATTGTCTCCACGAATTAGAACACGAGTGGTGGCTATTGCATCAATGCCTTCAGTAACTGCAATCATTGAATACTCAAGAAGAGTCACTGGTTCCTGCAAGTATCAAGAGCTCATATTCATCATGACACGAATAAAGTTTAAAAGCAATACCTTGAATTCACTTTTTTTTTTTTTTTTTCCAGATAATATAGAGAGTACCTTAAAGAACTACTAACAGTCAGCTAGAAAGAATGCTAACACAGGTATCCTATGTTATAGGTTAGGTAGAAAACAAGATTGATGATGCCCAAAACTCAAATAAGACAAAAAATTTTTACTCATATCAAACCTTTACGATGAGATCAACAGCCTTGTAAGCGCTATCAACAGGCCCAGTTCCCACAGAACAAGCAACATGCTCTTTCCCATCAGCGCCAATGAGCTTAACAGTTGCTGTAGAAAGACCAAGGGTTCCACAAGTAACCTGTTTGTTGGTGCAAAATACAGAAACTTATGAAATTGCCTTGATTACAATCAACTCATAGACAGGGAAATGTAGAATAAAAACAATTCAATATGGAGAAAGGAGGGTGAAACAATAATAACAATTCAACTACTACTATTATTAAGGTTATTATCACCTACTTATCCACAGGTTAACATCACCAACACCCCATAAATATGAGAAATCCTGACTTAGCTCCCCTGAGATTTTGCAAAATATGCATTCATCTCCTCTGAGCTCCACAAACAGAAATTCTTAACAGAAAGTATGAGATGTTAACATTGGCCTTGAAGTTCAATCTATAAGTAATGTGTTACAGGACTAGCCTTACTATAATGTTTAATTACAAACAATTGTCTAACATGAAAAGTCACGCTACTGGACATATTTGATTGGCCATTGCAATGGTAAAATATTTTGCTTATTTATAGGCTGAGTTTCTTCTTCTCCTATGTACACTAGAAATTGTAAAAAGTAGTTGTAACCTACATTTCTAGGCATCAGGTCATTCAAACTATCAAGTACATATACAAATGCATGATTTAGTGAAGGCAATTGCATCTGTTGAACATGGACTAAGCTTTTATCGATAGAGGCTAAGGTGATGAAGAGACTGATGATGCCCAAGCCTATAAATCATTTGAATTTTCACAGCTGAAATTAAGAAATTGGTGTCACTTTAGAGTAGACAATACCAAAAGCTTCATTCCTTGTATAGTCTTAGCCTAAAAGGCATCCTTTGATTCCTCCACCTAAATATAACACATAACCTTACATCCATGATTAAAAACAAGTTAAATAAACACAACACAAATGACAAACGCAACATTTATTAACAAATATCATTAAGCACAAAACCTCACTTTGAAAACACAACACAATACAAGACCCTATATTAATAAATGAATAACAAGTTGAAGAACACACAAAAAGAGTTGAGAGGTGGTATTTTAACAAACACATAGATTGCAAATCAATAATATATGAACTTGCATCCAAAAGAAGGGGCACTTGGGTTTCCTCCACTTTGGCAGCTAGTGACAAACAAGTCACAGAAGCAAGTTGACCCATTCATGGTGTCTCTTTGGAACTTTAAGCTTGAAATGAATCTTTCAAAGTGGTTGATGGCAAGAAGGGCGGCCAAAGCATCAAATCCCATGGTGTGCCCACCACAACCCTTTAATGAGCCAACATTAGAAACCCATTTGAGATTAAGCACAAACATGAGTCTCATTTTTTTAGAGACCAAAGACGATAGCTCACTATATTCTTGAGAGAATTTGAGACTCCAAAGTCAATATTCTTTTTCCAAATTTTCAGAGAGTAATTACGCATGTACCCTTTATTTTTCAACCACTGCCGTTTGTTAACCGGGCTTAGTGAATGTTAATACTTAATTCATGTTTCATTAAACCTCATGGGAGGTTAGTATTCCTGTATGCATAGGGTATTGGTGATATAAACTCGAACCTAGGGGGAAGTTGGTGATAATAACCCTTGTTATCATTATCATTTCAAATTCTGTTATCTCCTTGATTTGTGCTTCCTTGATATGCTCAACAATCATTCCACATGTCCAGATCTTTTCTCTAATAATTGACTCAATAATAGGACCATCCAATTAAAAATACTTCTACAACAAAAATGCAATCAAATAGAATGAAGAAACAAGAAAGAAATTTACCTGCAGATCAAGAAGCTTCCACACAACTTCTGGCTGAAAAACTTCATCTGATACTAATGCTATTAAGTCTGCATCAGTAACTCTCTGAAACACCAGTAAAAAGAAATAACAGTAAGGAAAGTATTTACTTCAAGGAGAAAAAAAATTTGAAACAGGTTTGCATTTACATGCACAGCTTTGCAGAAATGGTCCACTTTCTTTATCACCCGGAAAAGATTATAAGGCTTCACTATACTGAGATGTCAAATGATGACTCTGTAATTCTGCTGATGTACTCTTTGAACACCCATATTGAAAATGACAAGGACACCATTCACCTAGGGAAAGCGGTTCACCGAAGCATTTGCCTCAGTAAATATATGACAGGGAAACTTGACAAGCATGAGTCTTAAACATATGCTGCTCCACTATAATTATTATAAAGCCTCAAAAAACACTCTTTTCTAGTTTTGTTATATAAAAGTTACTGTCTTAATCTTAACCAATTCTACAAACTAATAATTAAATTCTTACAGCCACCATCAAACACATTTGCATAAATAATATATCACAGACTCAATTATAAAAGAAAGCCACTCAGATATTATCATAAGTTCCTATGTCACCTTTTTTTGTTCAGCTACAGCTTTGAAACGCCAGAATATATTCCCAAGCTGCTGATCATTGAGTTCATAACCAAGCTGAAAAATCAGGAAGAAAAAAGTATTAATTCATAATCAGAAAGTAAAAGATGATTTAATCAACCTAACAAAAATCTAAATCATTGTTTACCTCTTTCAGCCGGTCCTTTAAAGCATGGCGTCCACTGTAGCACAAAAATTTTCAAATAAGAAAATAATTAAATGAGATATAAAAAAAGCTAACGCATAAAGAAGCTCAGAACAAGAAAATATCTATAATAACACCCAATTCAATAGAATACAAAACAAAGTACAACAGGCACAGAATCGAGAGATACAGTCTTATCTTCTCATACAAAAAGGTGGTTGATATCTCAAAACCCTTGACTGCACATTTATGAGAGCCCAAAACAACTAACAAAGAAGTGGAATTTAAATGCTAAAACAAGGAAAATCACTTTAGAACAATTCTTTGCCTTCTATTGAAGAATAAAAGGAATACATGTCACTATAATTTTGTAGAATTTTCCTTATGGGTGCAATTATGCCTCACCAAATTTAGAATTTTAAATCTAGTTTACCACAGTAAAAGTCGGAAGTAAAGTGTTCAGGCAAGAGTGACGAATATTTTCAGCTCTCTCAGGATTCTATATGGTTCGTCAAAGTAAAATGCCTATAGTCACTTCCTATACAGTTGCGCTACAGCCATGTGCAAACTACCATTTTCAAAAGTTTGTCAAACCTACATCCAGCCAATAGCAATTAATGATGGAAATACTAGTGATGGTTATATTTGCAAGTTCTTTTGATCAATAAAATTCTAAAAAATTGAAACATATTCTTCTTTTCAAACATGGACAAACTAAGGTATACATTTCAAGAATTGGAAGACAAATTACAACAGATATCTACAAGGCCAAAAGAAGAAATAAAATATTTGATGAGTTCAACATCCTACCTAAGCTTTCCAAGGACAATACCAGCTTCATTGGATCGTTCAAGTCCTATATCTTCAGGAGAGATAATTTCATATGTACCTTTGTGTTTCAGCATTCCATCCTACAAAAGAGGAAGAATTTTTAAGATACCTTACTTAGACCAAAAAAAAAAAAAAAAAAAACTACAAGCAGGAAATCAATTCAATACAATGCAACACTTTCACAAAGCACACTTGATTGGTTAAGAACTTCTGGGGTTGCTAACTAAATGAACAAACAGATGAAATGGAAGGACAAAAAAGGCACCACAGCAAGTTCCAATTTTCTAGCCTTTCAAATACCACCACACAAGATATAGGTGAAATTTATACTTGGACACGTTCAAAGACCAAGTGAATTAATAAGGTATAGGTGAAATTCATACTTGGACACGTTCAAAGACCAAGTGAATTAATAAGGGTGGGCCATGATGCAGAGCCTTTCAAAGCCTTTGGACACGTTCAAAGCCTTTCAAAGACCAAGTGAATTAATAACACACAGACACAATTGAGCCATGATGCAGAAGACAAATAAGGGTGGGCCATGAATAGAATAAGCCAGTAAGTACTACAAATTCTTTCATGTTGAAAGGTAAATAAACAAACCTGATGAATACCACTTTCATGAGCGAAAGCATTAGCTCCAACGATAGCTTTGTGTGGCTGCACATGCAACCCAGTATACTCTTCTACCTAAATTATCAAGCAAATAAGTAAGACATATCAATCAAAACAAATTCTATTAACAAGAAAATAGGTTAAAGTGTTTTGAAAAAAATACCATCTTGCTTGCCATAACAATGTGTCTAGTATTGATTCCAGTATAGAGACCTCCCAATACATGCTCACCACGACATTTAAGAGCCATTACCACCTACAGGATAGACATTAAAATAAGTAATTGAAGAAAAAACATAAAAAACAAATGAAAACAGCAATTAAGGAAGATAGAAAAACATAATAAAGAATATGTTTTAAATGCTAGTAAAATTAGCACATTTGAATGGCACAAAATTCAATCAAATTTACTCAGTTATCAAGAAAATGAAAACATTATTTCTCTAAAGGTCTCTCTCTCTCTCTCTCCCACCTCGACATCAAAAGTTCTGAAACAAATCTATCAGGTAAAAGAACAAACAGTATAAGAAGGTTTGACTGTTACCTTTTGGATGATGGATTCATAGATTGTGGCACACCACAATGAGTTAAATAAATTTTTTCTTTTATTTTTATAACGTCTAAAATAAATGCCAATGTTTTTCTAGGGGTGGGATAATCCGGTTAACCGAACCGGATTATCAAAACCGAAAACCGAACCGTTTTGGTTAAAAACCGAATGTAAACCGAACCAAATTTTTGGTTCGGTTACCGGTTAACCGGTTTTCAAATTATCCTTTAATCCTTAAAATTCTTCAATGTTTCATTTAAGTCCCTAAATTCAAATATTTATTATTTTATATATAACTTCATACTATGTTTCTCTTTTATTTTATATTATTGCTGTATTCTTTGTATGAAAAATACATTAAATTACTTATTTGCGGATACTGAATCCAGAATATGAAATAAAAACATAAAGAATTCAATTACACATTACTGAATAGTCAATATTCATTAATAAACTCAAATACATAACATAAAATTACAAAGTAAAAAAACTTAATATAACATAAATCATCTTCATCCCACGAAGTGTAGAGATTTCAATTTTCAGATTTGGAGGCGGAGAAAGACGAACTATGAAGAGAAATAGAGTGAGGAGTAAAAAAAAATTTTTTGCTTTTATATTTAGAGTAAAACCGGTTTGAAATTTTTTTCAAACCGAACCGGTTTTTTGAATTTCACAAACCAAAAACCAAACCGGTTTGTAGAAAAACCTAATTTTCGGTTCGGTTCAGTTTTCGGATTATTTATCCCACCCCTATGTTTTTCCTTTTACAACATTGCATAGAATTATCTATATATTCTTCTGCCACAAAATGAGACTATTATTAGTAATTGAAAAACAATCTGAGAAATTTTCAAATTTTTGTATGAACTAATACACTGACCTCCTCTAATGAAGCATTTCCGGCTCTCTCACCAATGCCATTAATTGTTACTTCCAGTTGTCTAGCACCTGCAAGTGCCCCCTGAATTTACATGACCCGAGATGTGAGTACAATTTTATCATGGTTCCCCATACATTAAGTACAATTAAAAACACGACATACAGCTATAGTGTTGGCAGTAGAAAGTCCAAGATCATTCTGGCAATGTGTTGAAATAATAACGTTTTCGATTCCAGGGGTATTGGCTTTTATGTCAGCAATCAATTGTCCAAATTCAGTAGGCACAGTTATACCAACAGTATCTGGTATGTTAAGTGTTGTTGCCCCGGCCTTAATAACTTCACCCAAGATCTCATACAAAAACTCCCTCTCAGATCTGGTAGAAGTGAAGAAAGAAAAAGTACCATCACTCTCAAAGAAAAGAAAATAACACATATATCATCAATTTCTACAGGAAGCTTTTTATTAATAGAAAGAACATTTTTTTTTTAGTTTCTTATCAGAGAAGAAGAGAAAAAACACAAAAGAAACAAGCTTTTGTTGAGTAATTAATGATGTCATAATATTATTATATTCCAGAAAACTACTAATCTTCATTTCTCTACTCAGCTGGCAACTTTGACTGAAATCATAATGTCCTTGCTTGAAAATTACTCCGTCTTATCTAACAATCCAAACCGCGCAACTTCCTTTCTACTTTAGAATATATTCTTTGACACCACAGTAAGCACAGAAAGAAGTCAGCATATTCAAACAACTAAAGGTTTTGGCTTGTAAATTACTTCGCCCTTTCTAAAAACCAAACCACAATCTTTCATACTACTTTAGAATATATTCTTGAACACCAAAATAAGCACAGAAAGAAATCAGTATATTCAAACAACTAAAGGTGCTAGCCATTACAAATACCAGAGAACAAATCACTAAATTCTCAATGAACTAAACAAATACAAAAATATCACTACTCACTTTAGAAAAATTAATAAAAAGAGAAACCATATTACATCAAGTATATTTCTGCATAATCACTATACTTATAGCCAAAATCAAAATCAGCCCAATTACATAATTCAAGAGATTCGTACCAAACTATCCGCTTTAATGACCCAAATATAACATAATTTTGAAAATTATATCACTAACATTCACCAAAAAAACACAAAATCATTCACCAACATACAATTCACAATCAGTAATTCAGATGATAAAGAACTAATCTACAGTTGTTTCAAGACAAGAGAATTAAAATGAAGATGAATCACAGGCTGAAATTGACTCAAAATATCAAATCCAAATTTCAAAACTTTATATTCAGTGAAGTGATAAAAATTCACTTATTGGGTGAAGTATAACTTACAATAAGAAGAGAGAGAAAAACAAAGAAAACGTGGCTTCACCCTCCTCTTAAAACCAAACCAAACATTAACAATCTTACCCGCCATCGCCCTCTTAAAAAAAAACTGCCTTTTGAAAACGGGTTTGATTCCCATTACTAAATTAGTGATAAGAAAAACAAAAAAAATTCCCAATTTTATATAATTTTTTTAACTTCAGAAAACTATTTTTAAGTACAAAAAAAACATTAAAAGAATCAGACCTTCCAGCATCTTCAGGACTAAACTCAACATCTTCACAACCCAAACTCCTCGCAAACTTAACCATACTTCTCGCAATTTCAATGACCTCTGCTTTGCTCTTCCTCAATTTATACTCCATATGAATGCCACTCGTCGCAATAAACGTATGAATCCTCGGTCGTTTCGCGTACTTCACGGCCTCCCACGCGGTCCTTATGTCCCTCTCATTACACCGCGACAGCCCGCAAATCACAGGAACATAGCCGTCCTCCGCGACGGCGTTCCCGACCTCCTTGGCGATCACCCTCACCGCTTCGAAGTCGTCCTTGGAGGCCGCCGGAAACCCCGCCTCGATGATGTCCACGCCCAATTTCGCCAGCTGGCGCGCGATGTCGAGCTTCTCTTTGGACGTGAGGCTGGCGCCGGGGGACTGCTCGCCGTCGCGGAGGGTGGTGTCGAAGATGCGGACGTAGTTGGGATTGGGGATGTGGTGGGGGATGTAAGGAGGGCGCGTGGAGTGGTTGAGGGAGCAGGAAATCGAGGTTTTGAAGAAGGGCTTGGGGGTGAAGTGAAAGAGAAGAGGAGAAGGATTTGAAGAAGAAAACACAGTTGATTTTGAGGAAAGGAAAGTGGGTTGGATGGTTGTGAAGAGAGTTGTCATTGCAGATGAAACCCTAAACCTTAGTGGAAGTGATGATGGAGGAGAAAGAAGAAGAAGAAGATGAGTGATGAGGTGAAGGTGGCGGCTGGTGGGTTTTTAAAGAGAGAGAGAGAAGGAGTCAGCAAGTGAGCTGTGAGAGTAAGTGTTCGTTTTCTGTTCTCTTTCTCTACATGCTTATCGGTGTGCTTCAGTTATTTTAAGAGAGAAATCTTACTAGCTCTACGTGACATGGTATAAAATGGATAAAAGGGTAAATATAATGGATATAACTTTATATACACTCTTTTATTTATTTTTTGTACAAAGATTTTTGTGTATTTCATTATATTTACCACGTTTTTATACAATCTCAACTTGATAATTAATGATTGATAAATTTACAATAGATTCTATTTGTTTCATAAACTATCACATCAAAATTATATAAAAAAATTGTAAATATAATTTTATTACTTTTTAAGATTGTACTATAACCAATTTACTTCAGGAGCTTTAGGCTTTAGCCACTTTTTTTTATTTATTTATGGAATTTATTGTACTTATGTGCTAAAATTCACAGATTGTTTAGTAAATGGTTACATGTCATGAAAATATATCAATGAATTTGAAACTAAATGGTACAGAAAGATTGACATGTATGACCCATTTAATAAATAAAAATAGATGGATCATTTGAGGTTGACACTTTTAATTCAACATGATTAAATAGGAAATTTATATCAATTGTTTATTTGATAGATAATACATGTTATCACAAAACATTCATATATTTTATAAATCTATCACCTATGCCCAGTTACAATGATGAAATTTCTACTATAAAATTTTATTTACATAAATATTTATTGAATTTTTTCATTTTAACACCTAAAACACAATGATTTTTGTTATTTAATCAAACCTCAAAACATACTGTCTTTAACTCAATAATTGATATTGATTTAATATGAAGTTGGCATAAAGAAGAAACCAATATATCTAAATTTCCTTTATTATCAAAGCAATTAAATAATTTAAATTATATGATAAAATAAATAGATAATGGGTCAAGTATTGCATCTCAAAACCAAAAGAAAAACAAAATTTTCTCACGATTACTCGCTCGCCAAACCCAAAATCATTAAGGAATTACAAGAAAGATTCAAACTCTTCTTCCTGTTCCTTAAGACGGTCCTCATAGGTTTACAAAACCCATCAATCTCGCCTTCATAATGTACACCATGTGGGAAATCTTGAATTGAGTACTACCTTCGCTTGTAACTGCAAAACCAATCATAAGTGAATCACAATCATATCAATGGCTACATCGAAAAACTCTGATGGAAGATTAATGCAAAAATGAAAGTTACAAGGACAACAGCAATTATGGACTTCCTCAGTTGTACTAACAGCAAGGAGATTAAAAGTTTACTGAGGAGAGATTACTACAATGAGGCACAACCTGGCCAGTGGATCTTGCTATTCTTAGCAGAAACAAAGATTAATCATTTACAAGGATGGTCATGGTGCTTGCCCATGAACATAATAGCAAGGCAAAAGAAAAAAGAGTTTAGAATGGGGGCTTAAAGTGCAATGTGACCATGCAAAGCAACTATTGGTTCAGAAGGGCAACACATGACATGAATTAACAAGATGAAATGACTAGAAAACGGGAACTGCAATAAAAAGCAGGTATTTGCTCACAAAGCATAGCAAAAGAATCAGACTATCCTCTTTATTCCTTTTTAGTTCAACTGGATGATGGAAATATAACCAAGGGCTCAAACACATTTACCAGAGGCCCCAAATTTAAACGTAACTGAGGATGCAATGAGAGTGATTGGTGGAAAGCATGTCAAGGTAGAGAAAAAAAGGTGTAGAACTGTAATGAAATTCTTATAGAACTCAAAAGAAGAAAAACAACATTTCGTACTTCATTTTTTTCCCTTCTGATTTGCTAGACTAATTAACTAAGAATTATTGGGAAAGTTGTGCTTTTCAAATCTCCATTTCAAGTTGGAAACTAATTCATGCAAGAAGCACAAATAAGGCACTGGGGAACTTAAACAAGGAAAAGAAATATGAGCTAATTCATACCGTGACTTGCTCTTAAAAGATTTCTTGGACTTTTTTCCTGTACTTCTCTTCTGTTTCTTCTCGCTCATGTCGCTCTGGAACAGATCCCGCATCTCTTCTGCTCTAGGTTGACTTTTTTGGGAATTCCGTTTTGTTTTCTTAGTGGCAACCTTTGAAATCTTGCCAGCATCTACTGCCTTCTTCTTAGCTTTCACAGCTTTTGCTCGTCTGTAAGCCAGATCAACTAAAGAGATTCCAGCCTCATCCTTCTTATCTTTTCCATTACCCTGCAGTTGTTATATATAAGTACCACACGACTTCAGAAATAAAATGACAACCTGCTGCCTCAAAATGAAAAAATAACAACAAAACATATGCAGTTTAATGATTTTGTAAGAACTTCAAAAAGATAACACATCAATAATCATGCATACACACAAATTACAGGAAGAAGCCCAAGGATAGCACATCTTTGTCCTCTACAAACTCACATGTGAACAAAAGGGGAATAAGAGAAAGGACAAGCGGAAGGGAACACCAGAGAAAGAAAGCGTCTCTAGGAGTTAGAAACAAAGGCATATTGATTATATGCATATCTAAAGCTTAAGGTTCATCCTCAATTTAGGGTCAGCTACAATCTTAAAACCCTCAATTCAATTTCAACACAGGTCTCAACACACAGAAGAATAAAAGATGCATACTTTTTTATCTTGATAATCATCCTCCAACATTTCTCTAGCTGCTTCCAGTTTACGACGCTTCTTTCGAGGCAAATTTTTCTGTTAAACAAATATAAAAATGAATATCACAACAACATTTCAAAAGTCGTTAATAAAAAAGATAATATAACTCAAACTCAGGATTGTAACCACCTCACGCTCTCGTTTCCTCTTTTCTTTCATTTTAATGTCTTCAGCCTGTTGGGCACTAATTACCTCCTTTCTAGAACCTTTTCCATTTTCAATAGATGCCTGTCAAAAAGGAATGTAAAGATCACACAGCAATTAAGAATAGTCCATTACCAAAAAAAGGGAGAAAGAAAGAAGAAAGAGTAACCTACTATCATGTTGAAAAGGTAAATTTTATTACCTCCCTTCAAATTCAAGAAAATGTCCCTTTGAGCCCCAAGATTTAAAAAATTAGCACCAATTCTTTGGCAACTTTATCTTTCTTTAAGTGTTTTCTATTACAGTTACATTTTTCAGGTTCATACTGTTAGAAGTTGAATTTGTCCCACATCGCCCCAATAGTGGGCTGTTATGATGTATATAAGTGATTGGGCTACCTCCTCCCTTGAGCTAGCTTTTGGGAGTAAGTTCTACCCAAGCTCACTTTGTCACATACCAAGGCTAAATTAGGCCAATATAAGTTTTTTGTAACTAAACACATAGGTAGGTAATGGGATGGTACTGTATACGAAAAAGAATAAATAATGCTATTAAAAAGAAAAAAGTGGTTGAAAATGAAATATAGTCTTCATTTCACTAGCATACAGGGAACGAGAAATAAAAACAGCTAAAGTTCTGCTTTCTTCTTATAATATAATAAAAGAATGTTACAATCATGTAGAATCAGGTAAGCTCCTTAATAGAACAGCCATCATTTTATCAGCAAGATATCATCTATAATAAACAACCTTCTACTATCAGCAGTCTCAGTCAAACCAGATTAGAAATATTACTTAAAAACAACCTAAAAGAATCCCATATAGACATGCTTGTCAGAGTTTCTGATCTGGTTCTATAAATTGCATCATCCCAAACAGTTAATATATATAAAGGCCAAAGATGAGTTGCAAGATTACCTTAGCTTCCTTTGCTGTAAGTTTTTTTTCCTTTTCTGTCACAAACCAAGTTCTTTTAGGGCGTGAAAAGATTTCTTCTTTGTGAGCAATCATATTTTCTGCCTGCATGTTTTATGGGAATGCATGAGATTTAAAAAAAAAAAGGAAAAGGAAACTTAAAGAACAAATTCATATTAACTTGTAACACTGAGTTCAAATTCACAATAAAAACATAGAATGCCGTGGCAATCCAATTAACTTGCTCTTGAAATGAGAACCACCTTTTTAAATCATACCATGGTCCAAAAATTGATTCAAAAAAGGGGAAAAGTACAAATTTATATTCCTCAAGATGTCAATGCACAAGTTGCATTGGAATAGAATAAAGTACCTTTGTTGCTTCCATTTCAGCTTTTCTCAGGGCCATCTCTTCCCTGTGGCATTTGAAGAACTATAAGTACAATAGAAAGATAAATAGTTTGTTAGAGAAAACATAGAAGTGAGTACAACAAAAACCTTTCTTCTTGAAGGATGGCAGACACTTGATCTTCCATCTGCTCAATTATTTGAGACCACTTGGTAATTGATTGCTCTGCAACAATGCGGCTCTTTAACTTTGAACCAACTCTCTTAGCCTAAAGTTGGAAATAACATTTGAAGAAAATTATGTTCAGAATTCTGTCATCTCCAAAAATAATATATTAAACATATAATGTCTCATAAGAAACGCCTCATTTATTCATATAAAGGAACTTCTTAAGAAAATTAAAACAGTTAAAGAAGAAAGAGTTAAGAACTATGAAAAACAAAGATTAATCTAGGTATTCTTTGATGTTAAAGTTCCAAATGATCATTCAGACCCATCTTCATTCTTTACAACTGTCTGAACTGTCAACAACAAATTAAGTCATTGGTTCATGCATACTTCTTAAATCAGAGTCCTACTTAGGGTCTGTGACTTCTATGAAGCCAAATCATAGTGCCCCTATTTCAGATCCTGATTAACTGTTTCAGCTTAATGTGCATCACAGCATAATTCATTGTAATTGTCATCAGTTAATCATACAGTTTTCACATAGTTCTCCATCGCTAGCTTCAGCCATGGCATTGGTTTGTTTTTTATCTGTTTAGGACATCTATAAATTAAAGTACTAATCCCTAGAAAGGAAAAGGTTAAAGGAAAACTTAAGGGTCTGTTTGATTTGTGGTTCAAAAATAATTTTCAAAACCTAAAATTAGATTAAAATTTTTGAGTTGTATTTTAATATTTGAAAATGTGTTTGATATAATATTTAAAAACTGTTTTTAGATTAAGAGCTATAGAAAACTGTGATATGATATTTTTATATTTGTTTTTGGATTGTATTTGAAACTGTTTTTGGAAAAAATTAGACTCATTTTTACCAAATGCATTTTCATTAGGTTTGTTGTATCCCTTGTTTTCAAAAACAAAAAACTGTTTTCAAATTCTATATCAAATGGGCCCCAAGCTTTTCAAACTTAATTAAAAATTAAGAGTTACTACAACTAAAAAAAAAAAAAATTTGAAGAAAAACAGAAAAGAAGAGAAATACCTATGAAGACTACCTTAGGGTACCTACATATGCTTGAAGGAAAGGCATACTAAAGTCAATCAGCTAAGATATAATCCACCTGCTCAGATGGGACTGCACTCCTATAAGGAAGATTAGAGTTGCAGGATTCCACAAAAAGCCAATGCTAAACCTCTTAGTTATGTAACGACCACATAAGTCAATTACAAAGGAGTTGAATTACAAACTGGCTTCTAATTTAGATGCTCAATAAAGTAATTTTGAATTTATTAAATGAAGAAATTCACAAGGCTGACATTACAAAAGCTAAATAGATGAACATCCTTAAAATATCAGAAGATCTATATACTAGATATAAGAAGACTAATAAAAGGATATTCAGGTCCGAAAATAAACAAGTTAGAATATATGACTTACAATGGCTTTTAAAAGGGATCGATCATTGTCTGCCAGAAATGTAACAGCATATCCTTCTCTGCCAGCTCTTGCTGTACGACCCACTCGATGAACATAGCTGCACCAAGAAATAAAAGCATAGGATTTACTAGAAAGAAAAATGTGAGTCTAGTTTAATTCAAAGAGTGCAAAAAACAGGGCTCAGTAACTTCAGTTTTGAAAGTGTTTTACATTGTTCATAAGACAAGGAAAATTAGGATATAAATGTCATTGAATAAATGCTGATGGTAGAAGTGGCAAGTAAATCGTCAACTAGCAACATAAAAGATAGCTCAGTGCCTACCTGGTAAGGTCTCGGGGACATGCGTAGTTAATAACTGTTTGCACACCAATTATGTCGAGCCCCTAAAAATGGTAGCAAAACTGAGTGTCAGATAAACAATACTAATCATCATTCCAGCTAACAAGAGTAAAATTGCCATTTTTGTCTGTTTCTTTATCAATTTTCATAACTGCGATGTGAAGGAGGGCATGGTACAAGGATAATGCCAATTTCACCTAAAACCCCCAACCAAATGATAACTGAAAGATTCAGAACAAGGAAAATAGAAAAACTGATGTTGAAGGGAAGCATGAGAAACTATAGAGTTGATTGAAAGAAAACACGTGGAACTGTGGGTGAAATTAGAAACACATGTAATAAATTTCAGAGTCTCTGCTTACACGAGCTGCCACATCAGTTGCAATCAAAAAATCAACTTGCTGCTTCCTAAAAAGTTCCAAAGCCTACAAATCAAATATGAGTTAGAATTGGATAATAAAGAAATATCACAAATTCAATAACAGCCAAAAAAATGAATTCTCCATTGAGATAACATTCTAGCACATAATATAGGAAAATAATGTCACAAGTTCAGTGAAGAAATTGAAAAAAATTACTAGTAATGATCTGATTTACTCACATCAAGACGCTGTGCCTGGGTAAGATTTCCATGAAGCTCAGCAGCTTTGAAGCCAGCCAATCCAAATAAAATCTTTAACCTATGTGCAGCCTGCTTAGTTCCACTGCCAGAGAAATTGAAATGTCACTACATATAACCGATATCCCCAGCAAGATCAACCAAAAATATGGAAAGCTAAAATCTAAATTTTGAAAGTTCTAAATCAAGTTTAACTGTAAAAGGATTTATGTTGCCATGTAGTCACCATAATTTCAAGAAGATAATAAGTCTAATTTCAAGAAGATAATAAGTTTATGTACTGAGAATCAAAACCTGAAGATGATCACTTTAGATGTGAAAGTCTTTGAGCACAATGAAAGAAGAACAGCTTCCTGATTTACTTCACGCATTCTGCGTATCCTAACCACCCTGCAGAATAGAAATCACAGAACTTGATCGGTTAAATAGAATTTATAAAAACTGCAACCAGAAGAAATTATTTATTTTCAAAAAATAACTTCTGCTTGCTAAAAACCTCTAAGCAGTACATGTTAATAAAATTTTAACATAATATAATAAGCAAAGAAATTAAAAACACTGCCAAAAGTCAAACAAATTACTCTTCAGTCAAAGTAGCTGGCCGTTTTGCAGATGGGTCTGCTGACAGGCGCAAGGGTCTAGTCAGAGAGAGCTTTATAAGCTCATCAACTTCTTCAGTCATTGTAGCCGAAAACAGCATAGTCTGTCTCCTTTTAGGGCATAGGCGAACCTGAAAATTACTTAAAATGATCAGAAAGGTCTCAATTAAATTATCAACATGTTTAAATATGAAAGGTTTAGCAATAATTTAAAGAAGCAATCAACATCTAGATTTTTCTGTCTACTCTGAGCCTCTAGCTACCTATTTTAGATTTTCCTAATCCATGTATTAACAGATGCCCTCCATAAAATGAGAAAAGATAAAGAGATATCACTAAAACATTAGTTACTTTTGTGATGGAAAAAGGACATTGACTTTATGCTTACCAACAGACACAAACCTAGAAGATTTAACATGTCAGAATAGGACTCATAAACAATTGCTGCTTATGTAATAAAAATATATTTGAGGAAAAAGTACCAGCTCATGAATTTCAGCATTAAATCCTAGCTCCAGAAGACGATCTGCCTCATCGAGGATTAAAACTGCAAGATCATCCAAATCCACAGACATTGAATTCCGTAAGTGATCTATCATACGTCCAGGAGTAGCCACAACAATATCTGGCATTGATCTCAATGCTGTCTCTTGCACCTAAAATTACAATGATATACATCGCAGCAATATAATTGATGAGAATAGATAACACTTCAAATATATATAATTACATGATTGAAAATTTTCAAAATAATTGAATGAATCATACAAGGACATTGCAAATGGCCAAAAAAAGCATCCCTTGCTCTTATTAAAACTAAGAAAATATTTCCACATTGTCCAATGAAAACAGAAATATTGCAAGTTTGCATGTATCTGGATTTTTTACGAAGAGACAGAAGAAAAATTAAAAGCAGAATAAGAAAGTCCAAGTCATTATATAAACTGACTGGAATTAAACAAGTAACAGAATCATGAGCCAAGTGCTTGCAAATTAGGAAATTGAAGAGATGACAAAGTAAGCACAAACCTTTGTTGAAAGCCCACCAACAACCAAGCAGCATCTGATATCAGTAAATTGAGCAAGTTTCTCTATCATACTGTGAACCCTATACAGAGACCAAAAACAAGTTTTTTTAAAGAAACAAAAATCTGATTAAAAATATAAAACAAGATAATTTTGAAATAAAATTTCAGAGTGTTCACTAACAGTAACATTCAATTGACAAGAACGAGATAATTTTGTGGGCTATCAGAGGAACAAAAACAGGTAAAACTTGGGTGATTACGGTATCTTAAGATCTGAAGACACCATTTTTGCAATTTCTATCAATTTTTTATGGTACAGTTTGTAGCATGATTAGGAAATGAACTCTAAAAATATGGTATAAGCAGAATTACACTTGGTAACTTTTGTAGCAAAAACTAAACTAAAAGGAGCAAGGAATTGAAATTAAATAAACACTCACTGTGCTGCCAACTCTCTCGTTGGAGTAAGAATTAGGACCCGTATAGCTGGAATACGTTTTGGACGAAACAACAACCTCTCTAATGTAGGTAAGGCGAAGGCAGCTGTCTGTATAAAATATATAAAAACTAAATTAAAGCACATTACCAATCAAATATCAAAAATTTGTGGATTAAGTAAACAGAGTACCTTCCCAGAACCAGTAACTGCACTCCCACAAATATCACGCCCAGTCAATGCTATAGGTATACATGCCGCCTACCCAAATATATAAATAAATAAAGATATGAATTTAGTAAATTTAACACTAGCATTCAATGAATTGATGATTAAGTTAGAGAAGACATAGTAGGTGCAACTTAAACCTGAATTGGTGTGGGTTTTGAGTAGCCCAATGCCTCACAAGCGCGAAGCAAAGGACGAGATAAATTGAGCTCCATGAACGAATTGGCATGAAATGACGTTCCTTCAGACGGTGCAAAAAAAGATTTCCTATCAGCAGCATTAGTGGTCTCATCATCTTCATCTTCCAGTCTATAATCCTCCTAAAGAAGGTAATCATATATTTCAATATCACAATCTTATTGTATGTAAAGAAGAGTTTTGGAAACCATTTAGAGCGCTTTTGAATGGTTAAAGGACTTCTGTATAATTTTTGTAGTGCTTTTCAAGAACTTAAAAACACTTCAAATGCTATTTAAAGATTCATTGAATAGTCGTTAACCTTTTTGAAAAAATAAGTAGTTTTCCGATTAAAAATAGTGCTTACAAGTGCTTCGTTAAAATTAACTCCATATGTGCTTTTCTATAAAGCACTTGTAAACAAATTTACTCAAATGCACTCCAAAAGTGCTTTCTAATAAAAAAATAAATATAAAAGAGCTCAAACTAGAATTTGCGAAAAATACAAAAGGTTATAAAATTGAAGCTGAGAGAGTTCAGTTACTTGTTTGTCAGGTTCAGAATCAGACTTATCCTCATCAACAGTGTTGGGAACGGGGACGGAACGCTGTTGAAGAGATTTGGAGATTTTGAAATCAATGGAAGTCGTGCTTCGACGTGCATGCTCTTCAGCTGCAGACTCAGAGTACAAAGCAAAGTCCCAAGGAGATTGCTTCTGCCGACTCGGCAGTTTCTCCTCTTCCTCGTCTCCTTCTCCATCTTCTTGTTGTTCCACTTCAGACTCCGACTCTTCAATTTCTTCATCACTCGGCGGTTCAAACATAAAACTTGAACCCATGATTCAATCACTGCAAGCTTTCTCTTCTATCTTCAACAAAACAAACAAATAGCACCAAATAAACAAATGGGTAAGTGTAATTACTAAATAAATAAAAAACCCGATGATAAACTTCAAATAAACCCTAATTTTTATTTTTTTACAAAACCCTAAACCCTTTTCTTCTTTTTTGCAGAAACTTACTTAAGGATAATAGAGCCTGGAGAGTCAGAAGTATTGAACCTGAGGAAAAACTTCAGATGAAGCACTATCTACTAACTAAAATTAAAAAATCAAAAATAAAATAAAATTATACCAAAAAAAAAGAAACACAGTCTACGGATTGAAGTAGGCAAAAAAAAAAAAAGATGAATAACACACTCTACATAATAAGAAACTTAAGCTTAAAATCGGCAGAACCTCAAATTTATAAAAAGGATTTAAAAAAAAAAACCTAAGAGAAAAGGATGGTGGTGGTGCGGCACCAAAACTGTGAGAGATGGAGCGTTTTGGTAGACAAAAAAAAAAAAACGAGGGAAACAAGTTTCAGTTGTGAAGGGTTAAATTTAAACCCGACCCGTTTAGGTGGATGGGTTGGCAGATATATTTGGGGGTGGACGGTCCGGATGCCCGGCCCAATATTCGGAACCGGAACCTGTATACCCTGCACTCTTTCCGAAAATTACAAAAAACCGCTACTATTCACATAAAATGGCAAATATACCCTATACATTCACAGAAGATTCACAATATACCTCCAACTATTTACAAATATATCATGTAATGTTCCCAAAATTAAAATTACTAATATTTAAATAACAAAAAATTGTCTAAGTCATAATTCATAAATTTGACACCAAACAACATAATATAAAAGTTGATACACAACATAAATTTGAATCATGCAAACAACATAACATTGCAAAATAAATCAAAACTAAACATCAATCCCAATTTTCAAGTTCGCATGTTTGATGCTGAAATTTGCAATAGATATTCCTCGTCAAATGCATTCATTTTTCAAAATAAATCACAGAAAATCAATTATATGCTAAAAACATTGAATAAAATTATTTAAACAGAAATTAACTAAATAAGAATATAAGAATTGATATAGTAAGTTACCTGACTCATAAAATTTTGCATCCTCCATGTCATTTTCAACATGAATTGGTGTAGGTGCACATATTAACCAATCTTGTGCATAAATTAAGGTTTCCACAACACAGAGAGTTAAACAACTTTGAAATTGATCAAGTACATGACTCGATGTACTAAAGCTAACTCGAAAGCAATTGTAAACACCAGAACAACAAAGACATCTCTTGCAATGCGCGAGGAACCTTAAATTTTGTTGTATTTATTTTTCACCAACCCAAGACATTCAATCACTTGTAATGGGTTTACACTCTCATTAAGGTACCATTCTAACTCTGTTTTGTTCATCATGTAATTCTTCTTCCAGTTCCATCATAAATGCTTGCTTGAGCGGTTAAGTCATTATCTCATCACAACTAGCACCATCAGTGTAATGACTCTTTCTAGTTAGTATACTTGGAAATATAATATGATAAATACTAAGCAATACAAATGAAAAGTAATGGGCCCAAAAATTTCTTTTCTTTTAAATATATATTCTTTACATAGCAAAAGTATCATGTACACAGCTCAAACAGTGGACAGTAGTGCCATTTCTCTCCACTCCTCGACGTCCATGACTACTCCTCACTTATTTCCTGCAAAAACATTTAGAACAACAGGGTGAACACTAATTGCTCAGTAAGTAAATCTACTACACTAATCTTCTATCTCCGTTGCTCAATCTTTGAATTCTTTCCTTACTCTACTCTTTTTCTTCTCTTCATTCTCTCTTTGTTCTTTCTCTTTTCCTTCCTATTTCTAGTTCTCACTGTCTTTTGTTCTAACTTTCTTTGTTCTTTCTTTCTAGTTCTTTATGTTCTTTCTTTCTTCTAGTGTCTCACTCCAATGAGGAATCATGGTATCATGCATGGATGAATGCAATGCACAAATGCATAGAGATGCATTCTCTATTTTCTTTCTATTTCTTATTCGTTTTTCTTTCTCTTTCCATATTTCTTCTTTCTTTCTTTCTTTCTTTTCTTTCTATTTTTTCTTTCTTCTTCTTCTTCTTCTTTTCTTTTCTTTCTTGCTTGCTTATTCTTTCTTATTCTATTCTTATTCTTGTTCTTTCTTATTCTTTGCCGATCAGACTCGGTTGATGTATAGATTTGGAACCCTACCATGTGAGTGAGTACAGTTCTCATTTACGTGCACTCTTACAGACTGTACAATTCTTTTCTTCTTAGGCCACTCATTTAAGGTGGCATGCATTTAGATATTTCTTCTAAGTACAGCCCTCATCCACATTCACTTTTATGGGCCGTACAAATCCTTCTTCTTATTCTTAGGCCACTCACTGAAGGCGGCGTGCATGTGGAATATTCTTCTTCTTGTCACCCACGGGTTCCCCATCGCAACAACTTTTTTTTTCTCTTCTTTAGCACTTTGCTTTCTTTCTCTTTGTTCTTTAGTGCTTTTCTTTCTTTCTCTTTATTCTTTAAGCTCTCATACATATGCATATTCTAAATGCAAATATTTAATGCAAGAATGCCATGTAGCATAAATAAGTTCTCTATCATCTACAAGCTCATATCAAGATCACAAATGAATACACTCATACATACACTTCTCTTGGACATTTCATCAAACATAATGCATGCATAATCAAATTCTAATTTGCTATACTTCTTCTTCTTTCTCATACCACCAATATTTGGAGTAAAACTCCCTTAGAACAATATTAAACTTGGCCAGGAAGACACTCCATAAATTATGCTCAAACTCTTCCATCAATTTCTATCAACACAACCAACCTCTCATGGTGGAAAACCAATCATGGATCATTCAAACTCAACACAATTCCACCACAAATCTCAAGCATATAAACCATATAAGAAAATCTCTACACTTTTATTGCTCAATCAAGGGTTAGGGTTGGATTTACTTACCTTGAACTTGAGTACTTTCACTAGAATCTCCCTCTCTTTGGTAGACTTCCACTTTCTCTACAATCCTAAGCATATAAATTATAAAAACTCAACACTTTATAATTAATCTCACATCTATTAACAAGAATTCTTACCTTAAGATACTTAGATTGAATCTCTACCAAAAATCCAACCAAAATCCTCCAATCTCCTTGGAAATTGATGAAAGAATTGAGAGAATTTGAGAGTGAAGGTGGCGTGTGGGGTGTAGAGAATGGTAAGGTTTGTGTGCTTGAACCCTTAATATCTCTATTATTATGCATACTTTCCCATTTTGCTCTTACACTTTCTTAGAAATCCATCTTTACCCTTTGATCAATTACAAAATATCCTCATCACCATTGCATTCTCTATAAAATTTCCTTACTTTTCACTCCCCACATTTTCAACTAATTAAGGGTAGAATGGTCACTTTGCCCTTAAGGAATTTCTCTAAGATCTTCTTAATAATTTCAGCCGCTCTTGTGCCCCGGCGAAGCTTTTTCTTCGCCTTGGTGAAGAATCCAAAGCATACATTGCCGCGCGAACTTTCTTCTTGGTCACGGTGAACGCCTCACTTGAAATACGTAGCCACTTTTTAAGGTATGGCCTAAAGGATTACTGATTGCCCCTAATGAGTTTGATATATTCATGTTGTTGGGTTGGCCTTTGGTTGGTTTATGTTTGGGTTTGGTTGAGGTGTACCATGGAATTGATCAAGACTTGGTAGATTTTGGATTTGCAGTCTTCGCCGGGGCGAGGGAGAAGCTTCGCCGCGGCGACGTTGGTTCTGTGTTGCGGTGTCAGTTCTGGACTGTTTCGCCGGGGCGACAAAAGTTCTTCGCCGCGGCGACGAGAAGGCAGAAAAGTTCATGAGGTTTCTAGAGAATTCTCCATAGGGGTAAAATGACCATTCTACCCCTATTAGCAGGAAAAGTGGGGAGTAATGCAATAAAATTTCATGGAGAATAGTGAAAAATGGGGGTGAGTTTGTAAAGAATTAAAGGATAAAGGTGGAAAGTTCAAGAAAGGTAAGGGCAAAATGGGAAAGAGTGGATATTTATGAGCTATAAGGGTTGAATTCTCTTAACCCATTCATTTTCACCCATTTCCACCGCCTCTCTCATCCCCATTCCTCTCTTTTCCTCACTCAATCTCCAAGGGATTTTTGGAGAGTTTTAAGTTGGAATTTGACAAAGAGTGATCCTAAGCAAGAAGAGGTAAGTCCCTATTCTAGAGATGAGTTTTATTTATGTAAGGGTTAAGTTCTTACAAGTTTATGCTTAGGAAATAAGGGAAAGTTATGATCCAACAAGACTAGAGAGCTTTAGTGGAGACTACTCAAGTATGAGGTAGTAATCACACTCAAGCTAAAGTTTAAGAAATTCTTAATTAGAGATTTTTTAGGCATGTATATATGATACTTGTTGAGAAATTGAGTAAGATATATGTCTACTTGTTGAGAAAGTGAGTTGAAAGAGTAATTAGTTATATTTGTTGGGTATTTCCTTTATGGGAAGTGTTTATGAGTAATAGTTTGAGATGAAGTTGGAGGAGATTGAGTAGATATTTTGGGAGTGTTCTTCTATGATAGGAACCATGCCCAAGAAGGGAGTTTCCTCCCATTTTGGATGGTTAAAAAGAGAAGGAGAGTTGTAGTTAGAGAAGAGTTTTTTGATGCACATGAGTTTCTTGATGAAATGCCTAAGTGAAACATGTTACCAACTGCCCTGTCACAGCCGTTACTTTCTAAGTGATTTTTGGGCATCTTACGGATTGAACTAGGCTGAGACCAAAACATCAAAGTTGTACCCTGTTTTTAAGCTTTAAAACGAACCAAAACCGTAGCAATCCGATATGTATAACAAAGTTATGCCCTTTTTAGTGTGACCTGTGCAGAATGACGATTTTGGAGCAACATTGCATTGGCATTTCAAAATGCATTAATGAGTATGAACCATTCATATGCATTAATTTTGCATTGAGAAGTAGCTTGAGAAAGTAGAGAACGTTAAGCATGAGCTACATTATGAGTACTAGCTTAAGATAGAGAATTTTGAGTATAAGCATACTATGAGTAATAGTTTGAGTGAGAAAGAGTAGAGAATGTTGAGAATAGCAACTATTAGAGTAAAGAGAATGAGAACACTCTGATAGTAAAGAAAGAGAGAAAAGTGCTACAGAAGAGAATATGGTAAGTTGGTGCGATGGGGAACCTGTGAGTGATGAGTAGAGTCACGAAGGGGGTGTTTTGTGATCCCAGCCGTGCCTCCGGTAAGATGAGGCCGTGACCG